GGCTAGGGAGCAGTTCGGCCGGAGGAGGTGCAGTTCAGCAAGTCTGACCCGGGGTACCCAGGACACCGCAGATGTGTCAGTAAGTGGTCCCACCCATCATGCTGTGCTGCAGGCAGATGAAATCGATTGCASCATTCACATACTCATGGAAGCTGTGAGTCTTGTCGTGTCCTTGGCGTATGTAGTCSACGAGGAGTGCTGCTTCCAGCGTACTCCAGTCGTTAATGTCGTTCTTCTTCAACTGCAGCACAGCAGTAATTTTGTGCATCCTGTGGCTAGTTTCCGCAGTCGACATGATGGAGAGTGATTTGGCAGGACCTATACAATGGAGGCGAGCAAACCGTGACGGATCTAATTTTGTAGAGGAAGAAGAGGGGATGGCAGGAACACTTCCAGCAGGTGCGAGTGCAGAGGCGAGCGGAAGGGGGAAGGGTGGAGGTGTCGGGGGCAGCCAGAGTCCACGGCGACCAGCATTGTTGAAAGGGGAGGAGGCGGGAATCGAATCAGATGTTGGATATACGATAGCCAGAGGTGCATCAGGACGTTCGCGAACAGCGAGTTTGTGAGAGGTGTGATTTGGGAACATTTTCGGGGACGCCCAGAATGTGTCCAGGCCATATGTTGCAATGGGACACCGTCTATCACAGGCCCTGACATAAGGCACCTCAGGGGAGCGGTTTCTGGGCAGGCGAGCAGCCACAGTTGTGACTCGGGCATATCGGTAGAAYTCGAAAGGARTATCGGATTCCGGCAAATCAGGAATACCACTGACATAATGCCGGACCTCGGTTTGAGGCAAGGATTCGTATTCTTTTTTAMGTATCAGTTGGAGAAGCTGGAAAGCGTAGAAGACATGACCGCTGTCAACAATCCTTTCATCATCGGCCGGGCGTACCGGCTGAAATTTCCGTTCAATTTCTGCCCTGTGAATGAGGAAGTTTTTCCACATATTCTCATCAGGCTCACATTCCATATTGTTATAAAAATGATCAAAGAGTATGGCATTAAGAAGACGCACCTCTCCATACTTTTGCACTATATCGGTCCACGTAGACAGGAGGTGTGTCGTCTGATCATTCACCTTCACTGTCTTCGCACTGTCCAACCAAATAGGGGCGTGGACTGGGGTGTGGCGATACAGAAACGTTCCTCCCTGAATGTACTCAGGTTCGAAGTTCCACTCAGGGTGACATTTATAGTYGGGACGAAGGSCAAGAACKTTCGCTGTGTCAGACAGCAAWATGTGTGRMCTTCCAGCCGGAGGCACAGCTTTGCGTTTTGTGCCTCGAGAGGAAGGGCTGTTTTGTTGATGAGGAACACSGGCGRAGGCAGCCGGTGTCGCAGATTGCRAATTTGGCTGTGTCAGATGTTCTTGCRAAAACAGTGAGAAAGGGTCTGCGGAAGTCCGGTTAGAATGGTTGTCGGTTGCGTTGCCAGCGGTTTCTGCAGAAGTSGGTAGSACCTSARGTAGATGCTGGATATTGTCCGTAGCCGCGTTCGCCTGGCTGGACAGGGATTGGGGAGCTGCGGTCCGGGACCCATCTTGACACTGGCGAGCATGAAGATTTTGTGAACCCACAGGCGGAGAGGGCGTGCGTTGACGGATTGGCTGACTTTGCGTTCGAAAAGGGTGAAGGATTATATACCGCCGCCGGCATGGACTGTGCGGAGTGCACCCTGTGATGAAATCACTCGTTGCGGCTGAGAAAGATCGGAGGTAGTACAAATCCCCTTCAGCAATGGACACATTGCTCAACCTGCAGATTTTCCGAAATGTGCCGGCCTTGCCTGTTTTTATGCGAGGCTTCCAAACTTTCGTTTTTCGGTGCCACGTATGCGTATCCGTAATGTTTGCGTACGAAGGATAACGGTTGTCACCGCCTGTTCTCAATTCCTTATTCAAATCCATCCACGCAGTTAACTTCGTACGCGGAGGACCATTCTCTGCTGCCTCAATTTCGTTCCCCTCTTCGAAACAAACGGGCTCCTCGCCTTGGAGATGAACAGAAAGGCGCTCGACAGGGGGCCATTGTCCGGAGGAGAGAGAAAGGGAGGACAGAAAAGGAGGGATTGAGGAGAGAGAAGAAGAAGTATGGAAGGAGGAGAACGAAGAAGAAGACAGACATAGCCGGGGGTGTGTAAAAAAAAAAAAAGGAGAAGAAGAAAGAAAGTGAAGGAAGGGGAAGAAGACGGCGAAGGGTGGCAAAGGTGATGGTGCCGGCAGCCATAGCCGAGGTTGAGGGTTGACCRGGCGTTGACCAGACCGTTGACCARAGGGTTGACCGAGGGTTGACCCGAGGGTTGACCAGGGGTGTTGACCAAGCGCTGACCGGGGTTGACCACGTTGACTCGRCGTTGACYAAGGCGTTGACCGGAGCTGCTGCCCAAGATTTTGACCAAGCTGGAATTGGTGATATCTCGTTGACCCTTCAGCCTTTTCCCCTTACCTTGTGGATGTGCACTTACCCCACGGTACTTGCTGAGTTGTCTGTCTACTCTTTCTGCATTGAGTCTCTTCTGTCTTAGGTAGTAGGACTCTGTGGATGAAGGATAGGGCCTTGCTGCCAAACCTGCACGGGCTTAGTAGGACCTAAGCTCTACTCTGAAACTTGGAGACCTGGGCATGAGCGGCGAGCGCTCGTTAAACAACTCGTCTAGCCCAATGACCGGTACTGTCCGGCAGGTCTACTGAGTTCAGTGTGGAGGGTCTGAACTCCGAGCTGTAGGCTGAAATGAAGGCCGTCTTTAAGTGTTGAGGCCTGGTTGAGCCACTCCCCTACCGGACCTAGTAAGGTTGATGATCTGTGTCTGACGACTCGACTGTCCCGAGGGATACGAACCCCTCCAAGGACCGGTACAAACCGGCGGGCTGCTCGGTGTGGCACAGTAGGCTGGACGGGCTGAGTTGTGGGCTGAAATCGCCAGAGGAACCAAGCTGATCGCGTCGTCCTGTCTGCGA